GAAAAGCCAAAAACTATGGTTTATATCATTAAATGAAGATATAGCATAAAGATGCTTTGTATTTGGGTTCTATTGTTCGCTAGTGAACAGTGCAATGAAAACGTGATTCTAATTGGCTAAAAGTGGTCTTACATTTGAAGCTCTTTATTATCCACATTTCTAGACACATATCAGTTTTCTGAAATTTTGGCACTTTTTGAACATATTGTTTGCATTTTTTAATTCTTTTATTACAAATTTGAGTGAAATAGAGGGTACATATAATAATTATCCAATTTTTAAAATGTTCTGCGTAGTTAAACTGGATGTTTGTTTTCAAATTACTTTATTAATTATGAACTATCAAAAGATTATTATTAAGATGAAAGAGTATTTTATGCCAGCGATTACCGTCTACATGTCTGCGTAGGCATCATAGTCCGGTATTAGTATGTAAAGATGACAACAGTCTTCAAAAACATCAAGCAAAATGCAGTTACTTTTTGCTCGTAAATAAGGTCACGACAAGCTTGGTGATTCTAGACTATAGCCATTCAGAACATCCGGGATTTGTTCATGTGCATTGACATAAATCCCTTGAAACCCGACCTTCACACACATTCATTGTTTCAAGAATGAATTTCGGAATTTATTTTAAAGAAAGTTTAAATATAAATCTGTTACAAAGATCAAAGTCATTGATATCTTGTTATTCTTTTTTTTGTTTCTATGTTAAAAGTGAAACGCTAGATGCACGAAAAAAATACTCGTGGAATATTATGTCAAGAACAACGAAGGGCGCGCACATACTATTACGAAGAAAATAAAAATAAAAGCCTGTACTTGTAGAGTTATGAGTTGTACTAATATACACAACTGAACGAATGACACTGAACTGAAGTAAACATATCAAACCACGTGAATACAATATATATATATAGCGCCAATGATAAAACAGTAAAGGTATCAGAAAGTATCACAATCGAGATATGTTTATCTAAACTCAAAGTAAAAATTAAAATATATGACGTACAAAAATACGTATATATGCCCGAAACTAACTACAACAGTACATGTAGAAACCATTGATGGAAGGGTTATTTCATAAATGAATTTAAATTGGCAGTAGGTAATTAAAATTTTTTTAAGTTTTTGACACAATTTTTATGTTTTGATTTCAATAACCTTTATAAAGATTAGTGCATCCTTATTAAGGAGATCAAATTATTTGTGTTTTGAAAATAACCAGAAAATAATTCACTTGTAAATCGTAAATTATATTATTAGTGACCTTGAACCGGAACATATTCTGCCTGTACCTTGGATTTCACTGTTATCTGAAATTTAATTTAAATATAATTGTGTAAATGATTTTCTTTGTTAATAGTAAGTTTTAAAACTATTCTCCATAAAATCAATCTGTTTTTAACAAACAAAATTAGCTTTGCTGTCTCAGTTAAGCTTGAATCTGTGTGTGTGTCAGTTTAATATTGTAACAGATAATAATGTTTATCTATATAAATATAATAGTACTGTCTGTTGTATGTCCATGTAACTACCTCGCAGGGTGTGGATGAATCTTCACCAAAATTGGTACGGATGTTCATTAGGTCCATGCGGAGGAACATACAAATTTTCAATTTTGCGTTTCGCTGTTTTTTATGTGCGTTATTGCGTTTTTTACCAATACTTCGCAGGGAGTGTATAGATTTTCACCAAAATTGGTATGATTTTAATTTTGTGTTTTTTATGGGCGTTTTTACCACTAATTTCTTCCCTATTGATGGATCTTCATCAACTTTGGCATTAAGATTTGTTGGGTCCATGCAGAGAAACGTGCAAACTTGCAGTTTCACATTTTGTGTTTTGCAGTTTTTATAAGCGTTTTTTACAATTACATATAAGGGAAGCAACTTTTCATTTCCTAAAATAACCTTTCATTAATCATGAATTTACATAACTTCTGTCCAAGGTACGCGTACTTCAACAAGTATAACAATAGTTTTTATAGACATAACCTCTGAACCTGATAAAGACATCCACACCTGTCGAAAGCGCTAAAGTTTAATTTTTTTCTGAGATTTCCCAGTCTTTTTTGAACTTATGTGTTTTCAGCATTATAAAATAGGATAATTGTGCATTTCAGTTAAAATTACTTGAAAAACAATTGAACAATCGATTTGACTTTTGAGAATTTAAGATTTTAAACTGCTACAACTGTACCTAATTTTATGACTTATGTGCCCTATATAACATCATAATCATGCACGGTTACAGTGAAAATTTACAGCATAAGTAGCACGTTATGGGAGTTTGTAATCTGAAAAATAAAGTGATTACTCATTGCTGTAAATGTATCCAAAATGTGACAGTACGAAAATATTTGATAGGGAGGACCAATAATGTCGATTTTGACCACGCGGGGGATTTGGATGCGGAAGGCCAACACTCGATCTAGACTGTGTGAAAGTATTGAATGTGGACATGAACGTCGAGAGCCAGCACGGGCCCCGGGGCAAACATCCTCGCCAGGCCCCCCTTTCTCTCTCTCTCTTTTTTAACATTTTCAAGAATTTATTAAAAAGAAGATCCTAAATTTTGGCAGCAACGAGCTCATAAATCAGACAAAATCATAGCAGCAGCCGTTTTTACCTCACAGTATAAGCGTAAAAACGTTAATAAAGTAACAACAAATATCTATTAAATCTATAAATTAACAAATACATATTGTCACGTCTCTAGTCGTTTGTTAATTTTCCGTAAAAAATGCTTTCCGAAGAAACTTTAGCGATACAAGTCCTTTTTTAAATAAAACTGGTTTATTCTTTCTGAATACAACTTTGCAATACACTTAATTTCCACAGTCACGCTATAACTTAAACAAACCCTATGTTTCACAACAAACGAACGATTCACGCGCTTGGCTCAATTGTCGTCTGTATCTCTGTCTGCAATTCAACTACATTGTTGCCGTCACTTTTTGGCGGCTTATATACAAGAATACTGCATATCTAGTAAACACTCAGACGTCACGAAGGGACACGAACGTTCTAGAAGCTCATGACGTGTTACCAGCGTCACGTGACTTCCGCTGTCGTAACAATATTAATTATTACTCAAATTATTATTTCAGTCGTTCTTAATGTATCAAGCCTCTATATGCAAAGATAAGCCAAAAACTACGGATTTTATCATTAAATGAAGTTATAGCCTAAAGATGCTTTGCGGGGTTTACCGCATAACCAGGTTTCATTCGCCAGGGCCCCTGTCAGCGAGCCTGAATCTGGAGGATCAATATTCTCAACCTAAACCTTGTGAGAGTATTGGATGTAGACGGCCAACACTCTCGATCTGGACTGTGTGAAAGTGTTGAATGTGGAGAACCAATATTCTCAACCTAAACCTTTCGAGAGTATTGGATGTGGAGGGCCCGTACTTTCTTTACAGACCGATTATTTATTTATTTTGTTTCGGCTTGGCGTGCTCTAAATAAAAATTATATTGGCATCATTGTATTGTGAAAAACTAAAAATGTCTAATTATTTTTTTAAATATTCTTATTCTTTGGTAAACATCTAAGCCACTTATATTATAATACCAATGAAAGTAACAGGTATTTCCAAAACATTTGATTTATAGCTGAAATCACTTATGTTTTGTTAATTCAGCCGCCATAAAGCGCTATATTTTCATATTTTGTTTTCAATGAAATAATAATTATAAAAATCTATTCCACTTATAGTTGTAATTCTTACACCTAAGGAATCGTATTATTCTTTAATAAGTATGTTATTTCTTGACTAAAATACTGTATGTGTAAAATTATGAATAACTTTTAATATCATTTGATCACAAGAGACCTCAGATCGTCTGAAACACAAAACTTGTCCATGTAATACAGACTCATCGAACGTCCTTGTAATTTTTTTCGTTGAAACAAATTGTTGTGGTTTGGTTTTGTTAATTCCAGATTTTTTATTAATCAAAGCATAATTATTTTAAAAGGAGTACTTTAATTTATTATAGGTAATTATACAGTTAGTTACGTTACAAGATATTCAGGTTTCAAAAGTAAATTCTCTGCATCCATATACGCACAAGCATTTATGGTTTTGAAAATTTGTTTGCAGGGTAGAGAAAATATTCGCGATTTCCAAAATCTCCCCAACCTATTTAGAAATAGGTGTTAGAGGAAGATATTCTTCACCACATGATTCTATTGTAAGTTTGTTCAGAAGCCTGTGTATATATGCCTTGATGGATCAGCGATAAGTTCGCGGACTTAAAACATTAATATCCGCACTAGAAAAAAGCTTAGGTAGCCAGTCCATTGCTCTAAAAGGAACTAAGAAACATCATAAATCTGCGGATGCACATTACGTAAAAATGGGTTTCTTGATTATCTAGAGAAAGAGGATATTGGAATATTTACACTTCCAAGCACCAATAAAAAAGCTATGAACTTTGCTAAAACACGTGAATCGTTCGGCTTATGTTAAACTTGTATAAAGAATACAAATAATATGTTGTATAACTTGGACGGGTATACGATTTAGTTATTATCTTCAAAATTTATTTAGAATAACTCATTTATTATATAAGCTACTAAATATATATATATATATATCGGTTGAATTTGCGTAATTCTAAAGTTTATATTTTCCGAATTACTTGTTTTAAAGTATTTTTTCTTTAAATGTGTTAGAAGTCTAATTCCAGCCGGTATAAGAATTAAACACAATTTAAAAAAAAAAGTAAACCTTTTTTTTTTTTTTGCGAAATTAATTTTGTGATCGTATAGTACAAAGAAAATTTATATAAATGTATAAAATAAGAAATTTCTTTATTAATTTAAACTAATCGTGAAACTTGGAATTTGCAGTTTCCAAACATTTACTGTAGAAATTACTAGAGAAATACAGTGGGAAAAAAATTATTACATCATCTGTAATTTTTACGAGATTGTGCATTGTAAAAGTGTCAGAACTAGTGCAAAACGGTTATGGACATTGTGTGTTGTAAGCTTACTCACATTTCAGTCACCCAAACACATGTATGCACATTTATTAACAAACCAACTGTGATAAACGTATTACAGCAGTTGATCAACAAATACGTGACAAATACAAAAATGTAATCTGGGTAAGAAAATTTACATTTATAGATAACGTCACTAGTGTAATTGACAAAAAGTGGTTACGGTCTTTTTTTTTTGTTTGTTTGTTTTTTGTTTTAATATTTGGTTGGGTCTCTTGCGTTGATAACTACTTGACATCGCCGTGACGTAGAGTGTACGAAAGACTGAATGTAGGCAGGAGAGAGTTTATGATGTCACATGAGAATTAGGGCTTCCAGCAGTTCCAAGGAACTTTTCAGTTTTTACTCTTGTATTTGGCTACCCGTTATCTTCTAGCAGTTTTCGACAGGGTTGAGACCTCCCTTCAAAGATAGTCCTTCATCTGAAGTAATAAGATAAAAAATATATATATACACGTTTTTAAATACATGTAAAGTGAAATTTCCTCTTTATTTCACGTCTACTGCATAGAGTACATGAATATTACCAACCTTTTTAGCCCTGTGGCATGGAGCAGAGTCATCCTGGAATGTGTACTGGTCAGCTCCACCGAAGTGATCCCAATTAGCTGGCTTTAAGAGGGACTCGAGGATCTCGATGTACTTGTTGGCATTGACAGTGTCTCTCACAAAACGTAGGTGTCCTACACTCTGACCTGAGATGCATCCCCATAGCATCTGACCCTGCGGGTGCTTCACAGTTGCATTTAAACACATTGACGTTATACAAAGTGCTTCCCATCAGACTCGTGCAGGATGAACTTTGATTCGTTTGAAAATATTACTTTGCTCCTCATTGCTTCACTCCAGTTAACATGGCCCAGTAGAGGCTCATATTTCTTATATTGTCGGTGAGGAGTGGTTTCTTTCTTGGTCATCTTGCTGAGAGACCGGTTGGACACAGGCAAGACCGGATGGTATACATGGTAACATTGACCCCTAAAGTTTCCTACCGTGCTACTTTGAGATCTGTGGACGATAGTCGATGATTCTACAAGTTCATGCATTTCAGAACATGATCGTCAGCTGCGTAGAAGCTTTCTTCCTACCCCTTCCTTTCCGCTGCTTGACACAGCCAGTCTGTGTATATCTCTGCACCCAGCGGCTAACATTAGACTGTTTAAATTTATTACTTATAGCAATCTGCCTGTGGAAAGTCCTTCTTTGCTCAAAGAAACAATTATTGGTTGTGTGTTTTTTTCGTGGAGATAAACTCGCAACCCTTGGCCAAGGTTGTATCACACGCTGTAGCAGATAGGCTTCTGAACTGAATCTCAGTAGGAACCTCTATTTATAGCCAAAAAACCAGCTGGTGAAATTCCCAGACAGCCTATAAAGCTGTTGATATAATAATTGGAGAGTATTGCATCATCCACGAAACACATGTGCACCTACATGCATTCAGGCTCAAAACGAACGATGATTCCGAAGAAAAATGTGAAACATTTGGCTGCTGCGATAAAGTTTTCTACCACATCCATAAAAAACAGTGTAAAATTTATTTTCTAGAGTATCTAGGGTACCTTCACACTTAACAACGTTTCGGCCGTAAGCTCTTGGAATTGTTTTTAGAGGGTTTTGTAATTACTTATTCCGTTCTTTAAATCCCCAAGTGGCTCAGTGGTAAGTCACTGATAGCCCATGAGTAAATATAATTATTGTTTGCGTATAAAGACATTGAGTACGTCATATTAAAACAACATTGGAGCGTCATAATTTCACCACATCCGGTCATGATCTTACTTCCTGAAAATAGCCCTGTAGTGTACTTCCATTGCAAAAGGCTTATCGTAAGGCTGTTATGCCCAAAACAAACTATACTTCACTGCTGGCTTTTTATAATCCATCTAGTGTTTGAAGACGACGATTTCTCAGCCCTTGTTTGAATAGTGATTGGACAGAAATCGATAGATTCTACGTTCATCGACTGGTATGCCGTAGTATGGAATTGTATAATTGTCAGTTTCATTCTCGAGCTACTTGAGGTATGCAACGGTTGAGCGGTCTATATCAGTTGTGGTTGTCACGTGGCTTGATGATTTGCATATTCAAATATTTTGGTATAATGTACTTAACGCTATGTAGAGATAAGATATAAAAATATAGACTTTTAAATACTGTGACGATGTAACTTCAATAGTTCATTACTTATATAATTACATTTGACTGATAGAGCTCAGAACATAGATATTTAAAATACAAAAAAGTAAGAGAACTGCAAATGTTTTGTGATTGCAATACTTTGATTCATCAGTTGGGTACCTTCACACGTTTGAGTTGCAAGCTCTTGGAATTGTTTTATAAATATTTACTCCTTATTTTAAGACCCAGGTGGCTCAGTGGTAAGTCACTGATAGCCCATTGTGTAACTTTGTACTTAACAACAAACATACATATCATACTTTATTATAAGTTCAATTTGAGCAAAACTTATTACATGTCCGACTAAGATAAGGTACTGTGCAAAAGTGTTAGGACAAAGCCAAAAATTACATTTCAGGCTACTTTTAAAGAACAATGGGAGGTAAATCACAGGTGAAACATCAAAATTTTAATAATCTTCATACTTAATACAACAGAAACTTAGTGGAAGTGCTTAAGTTTAGCAAACAGTTAATATTTTATGTGTTCCCCCTTTTGCTTTAATAACTGCATACAGTCTTTCAAACATCGTTGCAACATATTTAATCAAAGTGTCCCTTGGGATTTTACACCAAATGTCTCTAATACATTCCCATAAAGTTTCTTTGGAAGTAACTTTTGATTTGTCAAGTTTTTGATCTATCAAATTCTAGATCTGCTCAATTGGGTTGAGATCAGGGCTCTGTGGGGGGCCATTGCATTATTTGAATGACTCCAGCAGCTTCTTTCTTAGCTAAGCAATTTTTGCACTGGATGGATTAGTGTTTGGGGTCATTATGTTCTTGGTAGTAGAATTCTTTGCCAATAATACACAAACCACTGGGTATACCATGACGGATCAATATTTGATGGTACTTGCGCCAGTCCATTATCAATCTATTTTGCAAATATCTCCTGTCGCCTCAGCAGAAGAACATCCCCAAACCATCACACTGTCTTCCCCATGCTTCATGGTAGGTGCTATGCATTGAGGTAAGTATCTTTCACCTTTTTTCCGCCGGATGTACAACCTACGCTATGAACTAAATATTTCAAAATTGGATTCATTCGTCGTAACACCCTTTTTCAAACATCAACAATCCAGTTTTATACTTTTTAGCAAATTTCAGTCTCTTGACAATATTCGGAGATCGAAGTAAAGGTTCTTTAGCTGCTACAGGACCAAATATTCCATTCTCGTTGAGTTTTTTTGATACTGTACATCTGGAAATTTTTCTGTTATTTAGTATATGGTCGTTTATCTTATGCTTGAGATCAGTGGCAGTCTTCCTTTTGTCCCGAAGGCTTCATAAACGACAGTACTTAACATCAGTATCATTGAGTTTAGATGTTCTGCCTCTTCCTTCCCTATTTTCAAATTTACATATCTTGGTCTCACGATCTAGGGTATACTTGACAATTTTTTAGGGAGCATTTCAAGTCTGCATAACGTAAAGCTTTTATGCGAACCCTCTGCTCTACTGACGATTCTCTACGCTTTTTGGGCCGTGGTATGACAACAAAACTTAATATATAGTGTTAAACACTGTTTTTATCAATTTTTATTTGTGGAATGCTACTAAATTTATTTCTTCTAGCATATACGGAACCATATGCTAGCTTCATTCTGTATAGTTAAGACACTGCATGGAGTACCATGACAGTTATTTCAGACCCTAAATTTGACCAGTATATTCATTCAAGCAGAACCCTTATGACATGCCCTTGGTATAAGTATATGGGAATTCTAAAGAATGATGAGTATTCTCACCCTGGCACATTCAATTATCAACAGGGATCAGTGAAGCAATACCATAGTGTTGAAATTTACATTCTATAATGGCATGGAAGAATTAGCCCTTTAAAATGAAAATAATGATAAAATATTATCTTATCCTAACACTTTTGCACAGTACTGTAGATACAGGTTTTTATTTGAGCGGGGTTATAAAATCGTTATATTCTTTATATTAAGTAAGATAATTTGTTTATCTTTGCAGAAATTCTAAGCAATCCAGAAAATACTTCTTAAAAAACAAAAAGACGTCAATGCTTTACATACTCTACATTGAACCTAGTAAGACAAAGTACATCTAACAAAATAACCTGCATCAAAGAAATTTTTAACTTTTAGTTTAAAATGTGTTGGAGAAAAGTGCTACAAATTCAAGTTTTGATTTTTCTTGATTTTGTAAAATATATTATGTTTGTTCGACTTTGAAACCTTTGACAAAGACGTTAAATTTGTCTTGTATTATTCCCCAAAAGTAGTTTTGTGTTTGTGAGAAATGCAAGAAGTGAATAAATAAATTATTATTCAGGAAATTTTAATAAGCAATTAATATCAAGAAATATATTACCCAAAGAAAACAACATTCTCTGAGAGATAATATATCGAAGAATTAACAACAAAAAGAGAGCTTTAGAGGAACCAAAAGAATGCAATGTGGGATATAAAAATATAACTAATAATACGCCGTCTTTATATTCCACGAAACAGCAACAGATAGAAGGTAAGCTAGAATTCGCTGTAATTTTCTTTTTATTTATTATTTTGCTATTCTCCCTATTAAATTCATAATATTTGTATAAATGTAATTACTCGATTCTCAGCATAAAGAATAGTAAGAAACTCATCATGTTATTTATGTAAAGCAAGTTATTTTAGGTTTTAATAAAATTGAAATTCTTATATTTTTGTTTGTTTGTTTCAGATATTTACATAAAGTTACACTAAGGCTGTCTACGCTAGCCCTTTCTAATTGATAACTGATATACTAGTCAACATATACACCGCTAACTCCTGGAATATAATAGTGGTGTTTAATCGTCACTCTTATAACATACCCACAGTCCCAAGGTGTGAAGAGTATTTGTGTGTATTTAATAACGGAAACGCAAACCATACACTCTCATATCTACAAGCTACTAAATGCTTGCATGCGAGCTAATTTATTACAAAAGTGCGATGCACTCTGTTCCTCAAATTCACATAAATAGGTTTTGATTTCTTGAAGTTTCATTATTATAAAGAACTATCGTAACCTTTACGCCAAAACGATATTTTCCCACGTACGTCTTTGTTTTACAAACAATATTCGATTCTACTTGACTCTAACTTGGACATTAGGACTGTTACTTATCTGGAGATATCTTTCGTGACAATCAAGTAAGTGGAAGCCAGGAGTGATCACGTGACTTATACCTGTCCCGTTTTGCTATACAGAAGGAAATACGTTTGTTCTCATCACATTAAGCATACGGATAATCAAGTAAGTAAGCCGAGACTGCAGTTTATGTAAATTTAAGAAAAATGGAGAGTCATCATCACTGGCTGTTGATTTTTGTCTCCTCAATAGGTAAGTTAACCATTTGTTTACACTTGATTAACGTACAAAAACTAATCAAATCCGTATCTGTGTATACAATTATAATATTCATTTGTACACATCTGTACTTATTAGTACATTACATCTTCTTAAACACCTATATTTGTTAGAAAATTGTATTCTTGCACAAATCTATACTTGTTATTGCATTGAATTCTTGAACACGCCTTAGTACACTGTATCCTTGTACACATCGTTGCTTGCTAGTACATTGGACTGTACTTGCTTACTACCTTGGTTCTTTGTACATATGTGAACTTGCAAGTATATCGTCTATTGCACACAGCTTTACTGGTTAGTAAATTTTCTCCTTGTACACATCTGAACTTATTAGTACGTTGTCCCCTTCTACACAGCTGTACTTCTTAGTAAATTGTCTTGTTGTACACATGTGTATTTTTAATACATTTGCTCCATACACGCATTTGTACTTGTAAGAGCTTTATTTCTTTGTACACATATGTAGTTTTAGTACATAATCTCCATGCCACATGTGTACTTGTAAGTACATCGTCT